TAAGAATACAAGAAATTTTCCTCAATCTAAAGAGAGGGTATTATTTTAAATACAACATCAGCAAAATTTGAAACACCATTGTACTGAGGGATAAAATCAAGAGAATCCAACTCCAGATAACACTAGCAAGAGTAATTCAAACCAAGCAATGTAAGGGTGTGCTGGCTTTAGTTCCACCAGAGTCTGCATTATCTGAAGTTGGTCTGGGGTTGCTGAGGCAGCCAGTGCATCTAGGCTGAATTTGTTAGCAGTACTATACTTAAAATGTAGATCTTGACTCATTTCAGATTACACGCAATGAGTGGTTGCAGGTTATTTAATGCCCAATGAACAGCAAGAGTCATGGTGCATAACCAACTTCCACTTGTTGGTTTGTGTATTGTGAGCCTGGGAAGTGTGGATTCTGAGTGTTTGACAACAGACCATAAATAATCTATTTTTGAGGAAGCATCTACAGTTGCCAGCTTAACATGGCAAGACTGGCAACACAATCTTATCCCCATTTAAACAGATATTTGTGCTACTGCATTCAGTGAGGCTTACACCCAGGAAAGTGTGTATAGGATTACAGCCTGACCTCTGAGTGCATAATAAACATCTTACAACTTGCTACCAAATTAGCAGATGTGTTTCAGTGTATCTTGTACCACAATGTCCCAGAACACATAATATCCCTTTCTACAAAATTTACAGATACTATTCAAATGTTCACTGCTTTTCTTCTGGCTGCACACTTGCCAAAATATTCAGTACAATCTACTGTGTAATATCCAAGGAAAGACAAAGGGAAACTGACTAGCAAAAAGTATAAGAAAAAAGTTCACTTGGGTGCAAACCCCTAGTTAGTGGACATTTATTTATTCTATTTTTAATTTTATGCATTTATACAACCCAATAGCCAAAGTTCTCTGGGAGGTTTACATTTCCTGCATGCTGTCCATCTTGTGTTTGAAAACACTGCTTAATTTTTATGAAAAACGAGCTTTCCAGCAATCTGTGTTTAGATATTATTGTATTTACAAGTGTGTCACTTTTTAATAACCTACGTATATATGTAGGCATACACAAGTATACAAACAAAATACAAAATTAAAACAAAATCAGATCTGTAAAACAGATTTTAACACAAAAAGAATGAAAAAGGCTTAAAAAGAGTGACACAATCTTTACCTGAGTGGTGATTATGCACCAAAATAATCAAATCATTCAGAGTTTAAAGTATACTAGATTATGTCCTGTGAGTCTACTGTATATGCTGTCTCCTCTTCTGCACTCAGCTGTATTACCTAAATAATAATTTACTATACACAACCATGGAAAAACTTCTACTTTGGACTAGTCCACACACTACAGCAATCTAGAAATTATGCCAAAAATGATTGTTCTATGATATCATTTCCCAACCTGGTGTTAGGCTGCAACTCCCAATACTCTTGACCAGGGTAGGTTAAGTGCTGCTAACTGTGGCCATTATATTTAAGCTCTTTTCACACAGACTCCCACGGTAACAGAAGAGCCCAGCTAGATGTGATGCCAACAGAAGATAAGTTTTAAGATATGGAAATAGCAACCATGGAGGGAGCATGAGAACAACTGAGTATGCAGGTGGTAAGCAGGGAGCCAATGCTAGACCTACATAGCATAGACCAATACAATGAATGGAACAGTCACTTTTTACGAACTAAAGTTGCATTTATTTCAATCAGTCCACAATGGGTTAGATTTATTTAAGGCACACTTCTCAGGCACCTTGATCTTTTATGGGAGACCAGAGTAGACCAAGATCCACTCTCCTGTGTAGCTGTAGATGCAGAAAGGACCAGCTGCCACTGTAGGGGTGAACTGGGCCTTAGACAGGGCAAAGAGGGGCATGTTGTGGGCAGAGAAGAGAGAAGGCTGGGAGCAACAGCTTACATCAATTCGTGTTAGTGCCCAACCTCCTCCCCACTCCAAGGCTAAATCTAGCTGGCTGAGAATGGTTGCCTAGCATAAATACATGGGGTGAAGCATGACAGCGACACTGCTTACATGCAATGAAGGCAAGAATGATAGAATTACACCCTTAGGATAGTTGTTACATTGCATACTATCCCAAATATATTAAATCTAGAATACAGTAGGAAATGTAAATGCTACTACATGTTCCATTTCACCCAAAGTCTTACACATTTTCACACCATGCAGGGTTTTGTTTTGCTGACCTCTGCAATGAACCATGCTGCTTTCAGAGAAATATTTACAGTGTCTATCTACTAAGTTTCTCTACTGTCAGTGATAGATTTAGCATCTCATCCAGTAGAAAAGTACTTAGTTTTATGTACGTCTTTCAGCAGTCTCCCAATAAAAACCATTGCTAGCAAACGTATTGGAACAAATGAGCCATGTTTAAGGCATCCAGCTTCCTTATGGTTTTCCTAACATACCTCACAAATCCCTCTGGAACGGTAGCTCTTTTGATTTGCCTTTGATGTGGCATTATTGCTTAAGTAAGTTGGAAAGTTAACAGATTTTTATTTAATGAGGTGATGACCCCCTCAGTTTGTCCACCCATGGGGTTGTATGTGCTTTGGGTCTATAAAGGATTGTCAGGAAGGTATCAACACTGCTCTGGCATCTTTATGCTGTGTGGAAGGAATGTTATTGTCAGGATTTTGTGAGAAAGCCTGATCAGTCTATTTGGAGAACATTCTAGTTACTGCTTCAGATTAAGGGACATATGGCCTTAGTGAAGTTGCAGTGCTATATTTTTTGTTTGCTACATTTCAGTTGTTCTTTTTCCATTCCCAAGGAACCCAAAGTGTCCTACAAGATCCTCTTCCTCTCCATGGATCCCTACAGCAAGCCTGTGAGGTAACTTAGGCTGAAAATGTGGTCCAAAGTCACCCAGGAAGCTTCATGAAAAATTAATGACTATATTCCAGGTCTCCTCAGTCTTGGTCCATCACTCCAACCACTACACCCCACTGGCTGTAGACAGGGATACCCATTATCTGGGATGTAATCTATAACCACCCTCATGCTGAAGAGAAACAGGGGCCCTCATTTCGTCTTCCTTTTGAGAACCGTCAACAGACAGAGTGCTCTGCTTAAATGAAGAAGACCCATTTCAACTTCCCATTCAGCCATGAAACTCACTGGAAGACCTTACAGTAGCCACCACCACGGCTGCGTCACACAATTACCGAAGTAGTAAAGGAGGAAAACTATGTATGCCATTTGAATATCATTATGGTTGGATTACATTAACACATTGCATTAGAGTAAAATTGGGAATACATATGACCAAGACTTTTTGTTGCCTGAAGCAAAGGGCAAAATGGAACTTCTACCCATTACAAGTACAGAAGCCAAGCAGAAAATGGCAGTTGAATTTTATTCCAACACAACAGTGTTGAACACAATAGTGTGCTCCACCACAGCTGAGGACAACAAGCTGACTTGGGCACAGAAGCCAAGTTTGCAAGGCACACACAGCTCCATCTTCTGACACCTTGCCACAGCCCCTAACCCCTAGCATCTGCCAACTGTGTCTGCTGTCTTATCCTGCCTAACAGCCCTAGAAATGAGGCCAACAACCAAGCAAAAAAGAGCAATCTAAAAGTTTTAGTTCCTAATCTCACCTCTCTCTGTATGACTATAGTCCCATATTGCTTTTCTTAAAGGACACTACACAAAATGCTTTTATGTTAACATTTTGCTGTGTAGCTCTCAGTATTAATCATACATAGAGTTATATGCTGATAAACATTCACTATGAGCCTAATTCTATTTAACACTAATGATGCGTAGTACTGATTCAAACAAGCTGTTCCATTGAGCTTACTGGACCAGCTTCATGAATAAATGCCATTCAATCAGAGGGAAGCTTGCAAAATTCCAATCCCTGACTGTAGGATTTAATAGGCAACTTTGCATTTGTACAGTTTCCAAGATGCATCAAAGGGCTGTGGAATATTTGAACTCACATGTTGAAGTTTGTTGCAAAATTATTTTTAAAATACTATTTTGTAGACTGCCAGCATTTATTTTGGCAATGGATACACAGGTTGTTTCTTAAACGTTTCCATTTGGCATACACTTAGTGCTACTTAGACATTAAAGATTAACAAGGTGAATTTAACCAAATCCACCCCCACCCCCATTGCAACATGATTCCAAAGCATGAAATATTCTTTGCTTGCATTTCACAAAGGTAAAGCCCTGTAGACTTATGATGAGCAACTAAGATGGAAAACAGTCATCAAGCATCTGCAATTTGAGGGTCTAGTATGGAGCAACTGGAGGAGACACCAATAAATTCCCATGGATGTTTAGTATATCATGCATTTTTAAAAAATGAATTGAACTGTCTTCATACAGACAGTTTGAGGAACTGTTTAGGTGTACAGGTTTTTCATTCATACAATGATTTCTTAGAAAGGCCTTATTAAGTGGAAGAAAAGGTTTCCATGATCAAGAGTAATTTAAATTAAGTTAAAGTTTAATTTAAGTTTAAGTTTAATTTAAATTAAAATGAGATCAAATAGGTATATCAAAAGCCTGTTTTTTTACAAAGCAGAATGACAGTGATTAACTGCAGGACAGAGATGGTGTCATTTCACAAGTACAACCTGTACAGCAAACTTTAAACTCTCAGTTGAGTACCACTAAGTAAAATTCTGAGGTGAATTTCACATGTCCCAGATATTCAGATGTAAGTGTGTCTTTAAAATGCCTGGGAAAATTCATATGTCTATCCATCAGTATAATGCAACTGTGAGAAACATAACATTAACATTTGATGGTGCATAGTTACTGGCTAACATCCATCCATCCATCCATCCATCCATCCATCCATCCACATAGAAAGACTGTCTCATAACGTCTGCCCAACCTCAAGAGTAAATCATTCCTTCATAGTTCCTTTCAGCAGTGCCGCAGTTTAAAAACAAAACTCTACACTCCTCTTTTATAATGAGACTTAAAGCATGCAACAAACATATTTATAAGCTCATCCTTACCTACTATGTAAAGTAGAGCTGAGGAAAAGAAGGTCAGTGCTCTCATTTGGCCAAACTCAGCATTTTCACTTTCACTCTAACGCTGTAAGTTTATAAGGGAGGAGGGAACAGGGGAGACGAGGGCAGGTCTGAAGTTCTCAGATCTTCCTTCAGCGTTTTAATCATTCACTTCCCCAGATCCAGCTTAACAAATACCACTGTGTTCTGTCAATATTTGTATGCAGCTCCACAGAGGGCGAGCAGCCAAACGCACATGGTTTAAAGAGCCAAGAGCAGAAAACTGACACCCGAACAAACACTCCCTGCTTTGTCTCTTTTAAGGTGGTGCTGAATGTGTCATCTTAGCTTCTGACTGCAGATAGGCGCCGTTCAGAGATTCCACCACTTTGACGAGGAATAAATAAATAAATAAAATTAATAACAGCTTTGTGTTACTTTAACCATCTCGCTTTACAGACTTAGTGACTTTTGCCCCGTTCCTTCAAGAGTTTTACACAGTTTTGTTTATTTGTTTGTTTGCTTTGAAGCAGCTGTCCTCTAAATGTATTTTAATTGGTTGGAATGTAGAAAGAATCCCATTTGGCAGTAATTTGCATTTGAAGCATGCCCCTCAGCAGCTGAAATAGGCCCAGAAGCATTCCCGACTACTTCATGAAAAGAGCTTTGCTAAAATATTACTGGCTCCCACACAGCAGCATTGAAGTCAATTATATAGGCAAAATTGTGTCATTAATAATTTTTGGCAAACATTCTTCATTATTTTTAAAGCAATACCAAAAGAAGAGGAGGAGGAATAAATCATGATTGGGCAGCAAATCCAGTAAAACAATTTTAAAACTTGCAAGTGTTAATTTCCTTTTTTGTAAGCATTCTAAAACAGAAATAAATTTGCATGTGTATGCAATTTTGTCAATCAATATACATATACAGACTGTATTATCAGATTATTTTATAACAAATATTTCTGTGAGGGTTCCAGTCCATTGATAAAAAATTGAATTTTAATAGGCGCAATATTAGGTGCATCTGTCAGTCACTGTCCTACATTATGTTTTCATGTTAGCACTTTCTACAGTTGCAATCCTAAGGACTTAATTTAATTCCGTAGGACATACTTCTGAGTAAATGTGAATTAGCTTGTCCTGAAAAACAGTTTGTGGACAATTAAATGAGACTTGAATCTATGGACATAATTCAGTCCCAGTTAATTAAATTGTAGGTAAGAGTAAACAAACTATCGAAAAATAATATTTCTGATGCAAAATCATTGCGACAAGTTGAGAAAACATATTAAGGATATGTCTGGAAATCATTGGCAAAATGATATGAAAAATATGCACTAAATGCAAGTTCTAAGGAACTGTCAAGGTAAAACTAAGTACTTGAAGTCTTATTATTCACTGGGATAGCTGTTGTGTTCTCTCTCACTGAGAATTAAATCTGGTTAACTTTGAACGGATTGTGCCATTAGAATCCAGGAAAATCAACACGTCCTGACAAAAAGCCATATACTATAGAAGTGCTCTGTTTTAAAATAATAGCATCTATGACACTGTTGCAGCCTGTGAAATAGTAACCACTCAGAAATTCATTTATCAGGATAATCATCATCATGATCATCAGTGTATCAAGAAGACTGAAGGCACTAAGAAAAGGAAATTATTCTTTGGCTGGATAACAGTGAAGACTGATTTTCATAAATACTTGTTGACAGTCTGCATGCAGAAGCTCTAACAACACTTGCCAGGTGAAGAAAAATGCAGCACTTAAAGGCAACTATGCTGAAAGGGAAATACACATTATATAGGCAGAACCCCCACTTAATTATCAAAGAGCTGCATGACTTAACATGTTGGCTGTATGCAAGCCTTTTAAAATTCATGCCCAAGAGCTTTGAAATTCTAAGCATTCACTGTGCAATCCTTTTTTGTGCTAGCTTCTTAGAAAATGTAGGGGTTTAATTATGGTCAGGGGCTTTATAAATGCCACTTATGTTGAATTGTTGTTCTTGCTTTCTGGTGGGTTTGCTACTGTATTAATCTCAGTACTAATTTTGGATATATGCTCCTGGTATCAATGAAGCTCTATGGAACTGTATTGGAGCTGTATGGACAATATTTGTTGATTATTTGGAAGTCAGGATGAAACATTCACAAGTCTAGAGAAAAGACACCCTCTCTGTCCTCAATTCCTTTTCCCCTTCTCATGTTCTACTTCTGTTGTTTCTCTGCCTTTTCAATCTTATACTCATGTAATGCTTTAAGCTTCACAGTATTTTTTCCTACAAGAGCTGCTGCACATAGAATGCTTCCATTATATGGAAAAAAATTCAGGTAAATCTTTTTGCACCGCATAGCTTTTCTACATGCTGCTAAAATGTATTATTATAATACATTTTAAAGACAGAAGAGCCTTACCAGAAGAAAAGGTAGGCAGCCTCAGGTTGCCCTTATATCAGGGGTCTCAAACTCGCGGCCCGCAAGCCACTTGCCAGGACAGGCGGGGCACGGGGGAGGGGCCCTGTGGCCTTCAAAGCTCTGGCGGCGCCTGGGCCGGCCTCCGGATGAGCGGCCCACCACCACCGCTTGATGCGGCCCAGCCTCACCCAGACTCTACTTCCAGCGGCCCCCAGGCAAGTTGAGTTTGAGACCCCTGCCTTATACTAATGTAGTCCTTTTTGCCTTTCCTTTGCTCGCTGGCCTTTCCTTTGCCTTTCCTTTGCTTTTGTTACAAAATCTTAATATTTTGCCAGTTAAGTGCGAAATGATTTGCCTAGTCTGAATCATTTGGCCTCTGGGCAAAATTTGATAACGAAATGTCTTTAATTCATAAACTTAAATTCACAAAACTTAATTAATGGTACAGGCCATTATTAAATTAATAATATTATTCTTATTCAATTCAATAAATGATAATTAATTAAATTAATTTTAATTAAGATATTCCAGCATTTATACTAATTTACAAATAAATACATTTAATTTATTTATACTAATCATGCAACATAATATTAGTAAAAAGGTAAAGGTAAAGGTTTCCCCATGACATTAAATTCCAGTCATGTCTGATTCTTAAGGGTGGTACTTATCTCCGTTTCTTAGCCGAGGGAGCCAAATCAACAAGAGCTCATCCCGTTGTGTGGACTCAGACTGTTGACCTGTTAATCAACCAGCTCAGCAGTTTAAACCCCTGTGCCACCAGCAGTCTATAGTATTAGTAGTGACTACCAAAATACTACAAATTAAGAATTTGTAGCTCCTAGTAATTTATTAATTTGTCTGACTTTGAACATTTCTGGTTGCCAGAATATGGATGACAAGAAAACTATTAGGATTAAATCCATGATTTCTGTTCTGGAATGAAGATATAGATGTTGATGTAGATATTCATTACTGAAGTTCTACTCAGAAAAATCTATCATATCAGAATAATCCCTTGACAATAGTATGGCTTGTGCATACAGAAGAAAAGTGTACCAGAAGCAATAAGAGGCCCTTTTGGGCTAACCCATAGGTACAGGTTGCTGTCCCAGATAGACCATTGCTCAATGGAAAAACACTTGCTTTGCATGCAGAATGTTCTGTATTCAGTTCTGAGCATTACTGAAAAAGGTTCATGTAGATCAGGGTGGTCCAACTGCTGGTACTGGTACTAAATGCCAGGTTGTTCCATAGCAAAACCTCCCTCATCTACAATTGTTATTGAGTGGGCTGACCTGGTTATATTACCAAGACCTGGGTGTGAGAGATGGGGAGGTCTTCTTCTCTCCCAGATGTGCCCACCAGGATGTTTGGTTAGGGTTTAGGGCTAGGACAAAGTCCTGTCCATCACCTAAAAGGCTGGCCATAGCGTATAAAGAACCAATCTCCCTCACCAGACTTCTGGTCCAGTTGGGGTCAGGTTTGAATGTCTGTACCTGATGTCGGGCTCTTGAGACAGATTAAGGATTTTGCTGGTGTACTGGTCACTTTGCTGACCAGTTGTTTCCCTGCCTGAGCTGATAGAGGTAGTTAAGGACCTGGTGTTGAGGACCCCCAGAAAGTTGTTCTGGGAGACCTGAACACGCAAGCTAAGTCTGCTTTATCTGGGGCAGTTCAGGACTTCATGGCTGCCATGACAACCACCAACCACAGGGCTGTCTCAACATGTCATCAGCCCTAACACATGAAATGGGGCACACTCTAGATCTGGTCTTTTTGACTGATTCAGAAGATGGTGGATCAGACTGGAGAAGGGATTAACATTAACCGTGTTGTCATGGTCTGACCACTTTCTGGTGAGGTTTAGGCTGTTGGTCCCTTTTTCCCTCTGCAAGGATAGGGAACCTATTAAGATTGTTTACCCCAACAGACTGATATATCTGGAGATGTTCTAGAGGTCTCGCGGGGAGTATCCATCTGTCATGGCTGGTGCTCCTGTCAAAGCCCAAGTCACCCTATGGAATGTGGTCACTCTGTGATGACTTGGGCTGTTGACATGATCACTCCTAAGTCCTCGAGAGCCTGACCAGCTTAGGGTGATGAAGCAAGAGGGGAGACAGAGTATAGGTGGAGGAGATCACAAGATGAATCTGACTGAACACACCTTAGAGCTCATTATAGGGCCTATTCCATGGTGATAAAAGTGGTAAAACTTTGCTATTTTTCCACTGCTTTTGCATCTTCACAGTGCTGTCCAACTGAACTGTTCAGAGTCTACTATACAGTGGAACACCTAATGAGACTCATGGTGGTTTACTGTGACAAATTCACTCATCACTTTGAAGACAGAGTCACTTAGATGCGCCATGATTTGGATTTTACACTTTGCCTGGCACCCTCATTACAATCTTTCAGCACTGGGCGAGAAACAATTTTATTTTCTAGAAATGTTAACAATTGATTTTATCTGATAATTTTAGTGGTATTAATGTTTTAATCAGCACTGTTTTAAATTGTTTACCCTCAGCTATGTACTGTTTTGTTTTCTGGTTTCTTGTATATTTTTCTGTTAATTGTTTTTACTCTTATAGTGTGTTTTAATCTCATTATAATATGCTTAGAAAGGCTTTGGGCGACTAAAGCAGAATATATGTTTTTTAATAAATTAATTAATTAAACTTTTCATACCTTGAGGCCACATAAGGA